AATTTAGCTATTAAATAATGATTCCGCATTTAATTTCCCATATGCTTTTTTAATCAACTTTCTGCTATGAAATAAAAGAATTAAAACACATTTTAAATAACATTTATGTCAGCCAAATTTAACGCACCTTATTTTTTTCTTCCCAGTTCTTGAAAAGTTAGTTCCACCTTTTTTTTTGGTGCGACTTCCGGTCCAAAGTTTTTTATGCTTGACTTGGCATAGTCTGTGGGGAATTAACATGGCCCGGGGTCCGTTGTCAACCGAGGAAATGGTTTGGGTTCAGGTGTCAAAATTGTTTTTGGGGTGAGAAAGTTTGTGGCTGCTTTTACGGCCACGCTTATTTTTGTAGAGCATTTCAGGTGCAGGCTTGAGATGTGCCGCAAAGACCAGAGCACTGAGAGAAATTTTAACCATATTTAAAATTTACACAAGCTTCTCTAGTTTTGATATTAAACAAAGTTCAAGTTGATTTTTCCGAGTGCACCTGCCTTGGCTAAGTGGTGCAGGGCGTTGACGATGTCGCTTTTGGATGGAAAAGTTCTGTGTTGCAACAAAAGCATAACTGAAGGCAAAGGAAAATATGGTGGGAATTTTTTTAACGCTTCCAAGTTTGCACGTCGACGACAGCTTGCCACAGGTATGAAGAGGTGGCCGGGGAGGGGGATAGCGTAAACTATTACATAACACGCATTATACAAAAGGTGCCGCCAGGATGGCAGGTTGGTTGGTTGCAAGGCGTTATGCCCAAGGAAGAAAAATGCATAAAAAGCGCATTTTATTATTTCACTCGAAACTTGTTTACGCAGTGCTTTCCCCTCTCTCTCTCTCTGTCTCTCCTTCATTATGATGTAATATGGTTTTAACATTATTTTTATTATAAATCAACAAAATGCACTCAACGCGACTTTCTCGGTTGACGCCGCGCCACCAACTTTTAGCCCCCCAAGTGGCGGCAGTGAAAGTCCAGAGAAAAGTGCATGGGAAAAAAAGCATGAAAAGCGAGCCAGTGGAAAAGCTTGAAATGGGGGAAAGCGCCAGATTGGACTGTGATTTATTTAATGCTATTATAGTTATGGGTTTATTACAGTGACGGTAAAGGATGCAGTGTCAGAAGGACAAGGGAAATATCAAGAGTATTGAAGGGGTTTCTTTATATTAAAGGGAAAGTATCAAACTAATTTATTAAAAAACTTTAACTATAAAATGTACCCTTAAAGTGTGTGTTCCTACTTTATTAATTTACTTTAAAGAACAAATAATAATACCAAAAGTTTTTCTTTATTTTCTAGTATTTTCTCCTACTATTCACTGTGAGTTTCCCAATTTTTTGTGTTGCTGAAAAACTATCCCGTTAAATGGCTTTTCCCACCGCTTGACAGTGGCGTGAAAGCACAGGATTCACATTTATCTTTCGGCTATGCGAAACAACAAATGTCACAACTGTCTGTCAAGTCAACTGCACACCAAAATGGAATATCTCCGGGGCACAGGACATAACAGGACGCAGCTGCAATTTGCCCGTCTATGCTGCTCCTGCTCCTGCTGCTGCTACATTTCAAGGATAAAAGCCATGCCACGTTTTTGCCGCTTCACACTTATTAATATTTTTGCGAGAATGTCAGTGAAATTTGTCAACTTCAATGGCAATGCAGCGAAAATGTCTCAAGATGGCAAAAGTGAAAGTTCTGGCGCAATGAAAATGAAAATGTGTGTTCATTAAAAGCAGGCAAGAAATTATCAGAATTGCAGGAAATTGAGAGAAATCACTCGAATGGAAAGAAAACATTACGCTCACTTAAGGAAAATTGTATATAAATATAAATTTAAGAAATTTCTTAGTTAAATTATATAAAAAGCTTGCAGCTAAAGGGATTTAAATAAATTCCCCTCAAAGGTATCATAATAGACTAAGCTTTTATTGGAATAATTGCTAATGATTGGGAATTAATAAAAAATTATATTAATATTAAGAAATAAGAACATTTTAATCAGGGATAAGCATTTAAAAAAGCTTGAGTATTTAATTTTAAAATCAGATTATTATATAGTTCTATACGAATTGCAGAATTTTAGAAGGATGACTTAAGTTATTTCTTGTTAAGAGGCATAAAACATAAGAGTTTTCAAATATTTTTCCTGAGAAAACTTTAAAACCTAATATTTTAAGAAATTGTATACGTTATATAGAAACTTTATGGATTCTTAAAAAATTTTTAATTAAAAAAAAATAGCAGTAGTGGAAGCTGCTATACCTGATCTCCCGAAACCCCTTCCAAAAGAGGCTTTTTGCATTAACCACTATATCTCCGAATTAAATAATTAGATATAGAAATTGTTTAGGTATAATTCAACATTTCTTTCAGTGCAATTCCCACATCCCTCCAAGTTTATTGAGTTCACAGAGTCCAAGAGTCATCGACATCATCAAGGTGAGAGGTTTCGCATGCTGATTAATGCATCTTGTCATAATATTCACCGATTGTGTGTGCTCTGCATTTTGAATAAGACGCATCGGCATTGGCAGGACCCCATTATCCTTACACTTCTTGCATTGCAATTTCCTGCCCTTAGCTTCAACGATTTGCATGCTGATCTCATTAGCACAAAACAAGTTCATCTGCTGCTCCCGGGGAAAGCAACTGTGCACAGTGCCGCAGTGCATCATTTGCATGCAAATGTCGTTGGTAGGCCACTTGCACCTCCTTGCCACCCAGTTTCCCAGGATCCCAGGATCCCAGTTTCAACCTTCCTTCCCCCCTTCCTGGTGCCACGATTTTAGCTGGTTGTTCATTTTGCTCTTCGGCTCGCCTTTGTTGTGGTTTCGTCCTGGACTTGGCTTCTCCCCCTTGCAGCTGGGGAAAAAGGGAAAGCCAGGCTTGGCTCTAGGGCTCTGACTGGGCTCATAAAGCAGAGCCACAGTTGCAACTGCCGTTGACACTTTAGCCAATATTCAGTGCACGCAACAACAAAAAAAACGAGGGGAAGGATCTAGGAAGTGGCCTTTATGAAAAGTTTTCTTTTTGCCATTCGGAAAACTTCTTGTTTGGCAATTGTGTTGGCCAACGGCGCTGTCATTGTCGTTGTCGTTGTCGGTTTTTATTGCCCTGCAAACGTGCTCTTTACCCACTCATTATGGACAGTTTAGTTGCACTTTTAGTGAGCTTCCAAAATGGGAAATGAGCTAGCACATTACTTAAATTTCTTTTCCCCTAAAATACCAAAGCTTTGTTTATATTTTTTGTTTGAGAAATAAATACGTTTAACTCCATTAATGGAACTATTATTGATTTCTGAAATAATATATATGTATTCTTATGTACATCTTTGTCTAGGAAAGAAGTAAGCTTCATAAAGAAAATATCAACTGGAATTTGTAGCCCCAAATATTCTTTATAAAAAAGAGCAATTTTATCAAGAAAAACTTCTTTATTTTCAACATTTCTTGCATCAGGGCAATCCGCTTACAAAAAAGCACAGAAAGTTCAAAGAATTTTCACAAAACTACAACTCCTGGTTCTGGCCACTTTAAGACCAAATAAATAATGGCAAAGGTTGTTAGGTACCCAAAGCATCCAAGCCCATTAAAGCAATGCGCTCCAACGCTTTTTCCAAGTACAATTAAGGATCTCAGCGAACGCCAAAAGCCATACGCCAAAAAATTATATATATATATATATTGTGGCCAGGAAACAATAAACCAACAAAAAAAAAAAACTGGGCCAAAACGAAGATGAAGGAGCAACCTTTACAGCTGTAAACAGGTCCAAGACCTGGGCCCAAGGCCAAGTCTTTTTTGGGGGGAGGAAAAATAAACAAAAATGTAATTTGCGCCACTTAGCAGCCAACGAATGGACAGTGCCATTAATAATTCCATTTTTTCCGGGTATTACCGCTGTGGCACAGATAATAAGGAAATATGACTTTGACCGCAAAAAAAAAAAACAAAACAAAAATAAATGTGAAATTAAAAACCTACAGAAAAATATGAAACTGAAAAAGAAGCAGGATATTAAAGTGAGCCTGCAGGAATTGGGATTTGGTAAAAATTTAAGAGTAAAAGGAGTTGGAAATTAGGTAAATAATAATTAACAAATAAATATATAATATGTTTAAATAATAAATACATAAATTACAAAAATAACAAATCAATGTATAAGAAAGTAAGCAATTTTTTAATATAAATAAAATGGAAACAAAAGCAAACCCACATTTGAAGTTATAACAAAAACGAAGGCAATCAATTTTTAAGTGCATTAAAATATATTTTCTAGATTAAAGTTTGATTAAGATTTAAGTTTTTGATGCTTGGGAAGATGATGCCCTTAATTTGCAAGGAATAATTAAATAAATTGTTTATAAAACTTAAGAAAAATTTGGGCAAAACGTCCTAAAATCATTTCAATTCTACATAAGACTTTAGGAAAATAAGGACAAAGTAGCCCAAACGATGTATATGGTGTACATTTAAACTATTAATTGATTAATTCGAATTTATCCTATATATTCTAATTCTATAAACTATATTTCTTTAAGGAAAACCCACATAACTTTCTTTGATATTCTTGGCTTATTGAAAATCCAATTAAGGTGACAAACTGTCTGAATTTATGACATGGGAAACGTAAAATCTCCCAAAGGACAAAAGGAGTTTGAGTGAGATTGAGACACACACACACACACATACAAACATATTCGAGGACGACCCTCATTCACCAGATATCCTTTATGCATATTCATGGGCAAAAAAGGGGCGTGGGTCATGAATTATGAAATGTAATTGAATGAAATTGAATAATGACGGTGACCGGTGTCAGTTGACAAGAAAAGTGAAATGCCAATGAGCGATTTATGGTCCAATTTCGATACGATTTTGACAGCCGCAAAATGTCAAAGTCAAGCGTATGAATAATGCAAGGATAATGTCCTTTACCCTCGATGTACGAGCTATATATAAGGGAATGCCATTCGCATTTCGGCTTACTTTTGAGTACAATATCAGTATGCATTGGTGGTTACTCATATTTCTGGTGCACCATGCCACCGAAGGATTCCTCCAGGAGCATGACCTTGTGCTGGAGTCGGATTATGGTGCCGTGGAGGAGCCATTGCGCACTTCGATGCTGCAAAGCCATTTCCTGCTGGAGTTCGCTCTGCGCCACAAGCACATCCCCCGGCTGACCCTCTTCACGTGCCAGGACCCATCATCATCATCGTCACCGCAGATACCCCTGGCCAAGACCCAGGCCGAACTCCTTGGCGTCGCCTTCGCGGCTAAGAATGTGCAGCTGATTAAGAACCTCTACCAAAACGAGCTCTTTGTGCGGATTGTGCAGCTGGATGAGCTGGCTCAAATGACGCCACAACCAGGAGGAGGAGGACGACGCCCAGGCAGTGGGCCATCCGGTGGATTCAGTCAGACGCCAAGCCAGGCACAGAGTCTCGCCGAGTGGTTGGACTCAGTGCTGCAGATGGAGGCCCTCAGGCAAATTGCAGTCGTGGATCTGGCATGCGGCTCCCTTAGTCGACGATTTCTCGAGTTGGTAAGAGATGTGGTGGGAAAATGCGGTGAGAGTGGGTGGAAGGACCTCTCAGTGTCACACTCGAGGAAAACAGCAAGTATATTTGGTATTTCCATTGAATGAGAAGGGTAGAAGCAGGTCTGGGTTGAGCAGGGTTATTTTTAAAATAGTTTTTAAATAATTTAAAAAGTAATCTAACTATTAAACCTTTAAGTTTATCGATGAAAACAGAAACTTTGCGAGTAACGAGTCTTTCTTTTCAATAGAATTTGCATTGTAAATATTTACACAAATTATATACAAAATGAACTTTTTTGTTAGCTAAAATAATATTTTGAATATTATGAAAATTTATTGTTAAAGTGCATTAGGCTGCACTCATCGCCTTGTCAAGTCCTGTCTAGTCCGCTTATTAAATGCTCAAGTACAATCATTTCAAAGGCTTCCACCAAGATGCTCTACAGCGAGAAGTTTCACTGGCTATTGATAGAGGATTTTGCCTGGCAAGGAAGACTGTCGACGGAGGTGAAGGAGTTTCCTATGGCAAAGGAGAAGGAGAAGGAGAAGCCATCAGGACAATATCTACAGACATCAGGCGATGAGGAGGTGCCCACCATTGAGAGCTTCTTGGGGGGCATGAACCTGTATATGAACACCGAACTGACACTGGCCAAGCGAATGTCAGAGGCAGCCCATTACACGTTGTTCGATGTGTGGTAAGTGATTAAATGGAAAATTTTGAACTTGATTTAGGAGATTTGGCAATTTAATGTTATATAGAAAAGAGAAAGTATTACTTTTTTACTTGATATCAATGAAAACCATCATCAAACTTAAACAACTCTTATAATTCATCCTTCAACCCTGCCAAGAAATGACAAATGTCTTTCTTTTGACTCAAAACTTCATGGAATTCTGACAAGTTATCATTTCGTCCAGAAGTTGACCTCAAAACCCTTCAATCCCAGTTACACATACCCCCCTGCAAATGCCCATCAACACATCAGCCATAATTTCCCAACTGTCGACTTTCCCGGCTGCTAATTCCCACAACGACTTGCTCTTACCCAATTTTTCCGGATGCACGCTTAGGAATCCCGGACTCAACTATGGCGGACACGTCAATCTCACCGAAATTGGCAGCTTCACGCCCTTGAAGGGAATCCAGCTGCATGACTGGTTTCGGACCACGTCCACAGTGCGCCGTCGGATGGATATGCAACATGCGAGGGTTCGCTGCATGGTTGTGGTGAGTCGTTGTCCTTGGAGAGGGAAAAAGGAATCCATCATCGTGGCCAGAGTGGAGATGATGCACTCAAAAGAAAGAACTATGATTTCATCCAAGGAAAATCCTTTTACAGGGAATGATTTTTCCTTATTTCCTCCACCTCCTTTTCTGTCAGTGCCTTAGTTTTTTCGATAACTGACTAATACCGACAGGTGACCAACAAAAACATGACGGGCACCCTGATGTACTATCTCACGCACACGGTGTCCGGTCACATCGATACGATGAATCGCTTCAACTTCAATCTGCTGATGGCTGTGCGCGACATGTTCAACTGGACGTTCGTCCTTTCGCGTACCACATCCTGGGGATATGTGAAGAATGGTCGATTCGATGGTATGATTGGTGCTCTCATTCGCAATGAGACGGATATTGGTGGTGCACCGATATTTTACTGGTTGGAGCGGCACAAATGGATCGATGTGGCCGGTAGAAGTTGGTCAAGTCGTCCTTGTTTCATCTTTCGGCATCCAAGGAGTACGCAAAAGGATCGTATTGTATTTCTACAGCCATTTACCAATGATGTTTGGGTCTTAATTATGGGTTGTGGTATTATCACAGTCCTTATACTTTGGCTACTCACTACGATCGAGTGGAAACTGGTGCCTCATGATGGTTCTGCTTTGATAAAGCCAAAGGGAGGAGCACCACCACCGCGTCATAATTATCAGCAGGAGGAACATCATCATCAGGAGACGCTGGAAGTGCGTCCTGTAACTGCAGCCTCGGTGGTTCCAATTGAGGAGAAAGTACCCGAAGAAGATGAGGACACAGTTATGCCCATCGATGCCGGAACTCTTTGGCAACGCTGCTATATGAAACTCAACAAATACCTAAAGGAACGCAAAGCCAAGCAGAAGAAATCACCGGAAAGAGTTGGTCTCTTCCTGGAGTCAGTTCTATTTTTCGTGGGAATCATTTGCCAACAGGGTCTCGGATTTTCCACCAGCTTTGTTTCAGGTCGCTGCATTGTGATTACCAGTTTGCTCTTCTCGTTTTGTATCTATCAGTTCTATTCGGCCAGTATTGTGGGTACTCTGTTGATGGAGAAACCAAAAACAATCAAGACTTTGAGTGATTTGGTGCACAGTTCACTGAAGGTGGGAATGGAGGATATACTCTACAATAGGGATTACTTTTTGGTAATTAAAAAAATTTAAATCCCACTATCTAATTTTGAAACACCCTAACTTAATTTATTTTAATAAAATCCCATTTTCTCAGCACACCAAAGACCCCGTTTCCATGGAATTGTATGCCAAAAAGATAACCAGCTTGCCAACCACCAAAGAAAATGAAGCCGATGAAGATGAGCCTGTGGATGCGGCAGCCTCATCTACAGATCCTGCTAAATCCTATCGTGATATTGTCCACAGTCATGAGACAGGAGCCCATGCCAAGGATAACTCGGCCAGCAATTGGTTAGATCCAGAAACGGGTTTACGTAGAGTTAAGCATGAACGTGAGTTGGCTTTAAATTGATTTTAAATTTTACATTAATAAGTTATCCTGCATAGGTTTTGCCTTTCATGTGGATGTGGCTGCTGCTTATAAGATCATAGCGGAAACCTTTAGCGAACAGGATATATGTGATCTCACCGAAGTCAGTATGTTTCCGCCACAGAAAACTGTTTGCATTATGCAAAAGAATTCACCAATGAGAAAGGTTATTTCCTATGGGTAAGTACTAACATGGAGGAAATACAAATACACCTTATTACATTTAATTAAGTTAAAGTTGCAGTACTAATTTCATTTAATTTATTACACTTAATGTTGCATTAAACTAGCATTTAAAATAGGTTATAATGGCCTACAAATAATAGTTCATCCTTGCCAGTCAATAAATGGTTTAAAATTATAAAATGTAATTCAATTACTTTAACTAATAACATTTTTAATTGCCTTTAATTGACTCTCATTACTGCACACAACCCTTTATTATATTTAAATATATGTATATTTCATGATGGAATATCTCAATTTAACCACTTTAGATTGCGTAGAGTAACTGAGACGGGAATCCTTACATATCACTTTAATGTCTGGCACTCAAGGAAACCTCCTTGTGTGAAGAAAATCGAAACCTCAGACCTTCATGTGAGTTTTAGGAAGTTTCACACTTAACTTTTCCCACTTCAAGGGTCTTCTAATTCCAGGTTGATATGGATACTGTGAGCTCTGCCCTGTTGATACTACTCTTTAGCTATGGCATTACACTCCTGATCCTGGGCATTGAGATCCTGTACTCAAAATGGCAGTATCGCATTGTAATCAGACTCAATTGAGTGCGATGGAGTGCCTTGAAAGTCGATTCAATAAAATGCAAAAGCAGAGATTATACCTTGACACTCGAGATCAAGCGGAATTAATTGTCATGGAGAAAGTTTCCAGTTAATTTTGAATGCGCGATTTCCGTTTCATTAGCTCGCCACAAAGGGGACATTCGATTTTCGTGTCAAAAGGTAAAAGTTTAATTAAATTAACTTTGTTGAGCGGCTAAGGGAAAACCGATTGCATAATTAAATTGTGCAGTTGCTCAAAGTTTTTCCCGCCAGACAAGGGGGATATTGATTTAATCCCATAATTAAATGAATTAGAATTTATTGCGGTCTCCGGGGTGAAGCTTAATCTCAAGTTTTCAGGCAATCCACCGTCTGCAAATAATGCCACAAGATGGTGAAATTGTTTCTTTGCCACCGCCTTTCGTCTCCCTTGAATGGAAAATGCCTCGCAGCGGGAAATGGCCGAGTGAGAGAGTGAGTCAATTTTAGCCACAAACGAACTACAAAATATCCATTAAGATAACAAGTTTTTCAGTAGTTGTAACACAGTTTTCCTTCCTTTTATCGCTCTCATATTCTTTTTCTTTTTCTGTAGCTTGTTCTATGCAGTATCCTTGCTTCTTCATAAAAGTTCTCGTCCTGTGTGTTTGTCCTGGCCCTGTGTTATTTTGGCTCTTTGCCAAAGTGCCGCTCTTAGGCATTTCTTTTTCCCGTTTCCCCTGTTTTGTTTGTTGAATTTTCTTGTACAAAAAAGAGAAGAACTCGTCGTCGTCGTGGCTTCCTTGGTCTTAGGCTGAAAAGCCGCAACAAGCATCCAGTCGCTGGGAAATCAATTACAAGTCGTGAAAATCTGTAAAGCGTACCCAAAACTTGTCAACATTTTCATTTAATGTCCCTGCTCATTAGGAGTTGACCCAAAGCGAAACAAAAAGAGTGGGCGGGCGGTGAGTGTGTGTGTGTGTGTGGGGAAAAACAGAGTTTTCCGGGTAACATGGCTGATTGAAAAAGTTTTCCAGACATATGGGTTTTCCTCGCTTCAGTTTCGCCTTAGTTTTTGGCTTGGTTTCGAGCTTAATCCGTTCAGTTTGGGTTATACGTATTTATCCACGCAGCCATAAGATGCAATTTGGTTGCCGCCTCACTTCGTCGACGGTGACAATTAAATTGTTTTGGCTTTGTTTGAGCAGCAAATTGTGCAACAAAACTTTGGCGGTTGCCAAGAAAAATAAACAGCGGAAAGGAAAAGTGCCGGGAAGAGAAAATGCCTGGTGCCGAGTGCGAGACCTGCAGGAGTTGTGCCATAATTAACAAAAGCGCTCAGCAGGGCGCGTAATTTTCCCCGCTTTACCACCAGCGTTCAGCTACACTGGGGAAAATACTATCTATAAATTAATAATTAATAAGTCAGTCAGATTATAACTTTTAAACATTTTAAATGTAAAAAAATGTACAAGGTTTTTAAAACCAAAATCCGACAAGTTATTAGAATAAGTTTCAATTTATTAATCAAAGCTTTAAAGCATTCATCCTTTTCATAAATACCCAAGAACTATGCAAATAAATGTATGAAATATTTATTTAAATAAAAATAACCCTTTTTAAAACTATAACATCCCAAATTATTTAATAAAAATTAACATAATCAAACTATACAAATTGGTAAAACATTTTTTTGTCCTGTGATCCCACCAAATTTATGCTCCCTTTTTCTTCCTCTGAACTTGGGGCCTTGGCCAGAACTAAAAAGTTTCCTCGCAAAGCCAAACTAAAGTAGTTTTCCCCCCAAAAGACACAGAGACCGGGGCTAGATCGGGTTGAGATTGGCCAGCGGAAATGGTAAAGGGGTATGAAGAAAACTGAGAAGCATATGCTTTGGGGCTTCTGTCAAAGTGTGAAAAACTTTATGCGTCTTAATTAAATTTTATATACAGCGCGTTGGGTAGAAATTATGCGCCAAAATATTGCAACAGCTCCCACAGAGATCCCTCATCCTGCCGCCTCCTTGCTGAAAGGCAACTTTTCAAAAGTGACAGCTGCACTGGATAGAGGTCCTTTAGCGTGGGTGCAATGGGGGAAAGTCGAAGGTCTAACTGGGACTTGACTTTAAGCCAACCAATTAGGACAAACTTGGAGGATAATGGAGTGCCTGATTATCAAGCTTATTCCGCCTTTTTATCTCCACTCTGTGGGATATAATTTTTACGGTAGGAAAGTTATGCAGGTGAATAATATATATATTAAAATGGAAAAGAGGTAGAAGAAAGGAAGCGGAAATCAAGAATATTCTTTAAGATAAAGTGAAAGGGCATTGTGAACATTATATATGCAGAATATATTCTTTAGACATATAATATTTCCTTGTAAAGCATTGAATATGTTATTTTCCCAATATTTTTAATTAGTTTGCTTTATTTCCCTAATTTCACATTATTCTTAATTATATTTCATATTCAATATTTACCTCTGCTAATTAACTTTCCCTGTAAGCCAAATGAACTAAACATATTTGTACAGAATTCTTGGTATTTCTTGGATTCTCATTATCATTCCAAGCGCATAAACGACCAAATATGTGTGACATACATTTTGAGAAGTAAATGGGGAGAATTTTTGGTAAGAGAAAAAGCCCAGACACAAGGCCAATTTCGAGTGCCACAGAACAGATTTTTGTGTCTGGCTTCGCAGGAGCTGAAAGTGCTGAAATGAGATTTTGGCTAAAGAGTCAGGTAAACGCTTTCCTTATAAAGGTTTCAATTTAATTATAAAGTGGGGTATTGACAAACTTAAAAGATATTGTATCTAAAAATAAACTGTATATAAATGCTCATGTAATAATCAAATAAAATCTAATTGAAACCTTTAAAACTGTAAGCTTTTAATTAAAAAAATGGAAAATTACAAAAAGTGGTTTGAGAATGTTTTTAAACGACTTTGTATCTAACAAAAAACTCTTTTTAAATCCACCTATAATAATCCCTTAAATTCTTATTAAAACCCCCAAATAAAAAGTGCATTCACTTAATTGCTTTAGTTTGAGTTGGCTTAATTAATACTGAGCTTTGTGAAAGATAAATTATTCCAGGACATGCTCATAATTGAGGTCCATTCAGGGATCCCTGTGTAATTTAATGTTTCTACAATTGCTTTTTGTGTCTGATTCATTTCTGTTGAAACTAATTCCCCAAACAAGTTGTAAACTTTAATGGCATTTTGTAGCTGTCCTGTTTTTTTTTTTTTTTGTGTTAGTTGTTGTGGCTTGCCTTTTTCGATTTGTTCATAATAGTTGACAACTGTAATTTATGATTATTTTTTTTTTTATTTCATTTTGCTGCACTGGCGGTTTGGCCAGTTGCCAAACAATATTTTTTTGTTGTTACATTTTTTATCAGCTGTGCAGGTGGAAATGGAAGGTGAAAAAGTTAGTTATGGGATTGTTAACTAATGTACAAATGCATTAGTTCCAGTGATAGTAAATATTAAATAAAATGTGCAGCTTTTAGCGGAAAAGCATTCGCATATATTTTATATTATTTAAACGCTTTTGCCAACTGTCAGATAAAAGTCAGACACAGAGATAAAGGAAAATAGACAGCGTTGAACATCATTAATACGCATTATTTACATTTTCTTAAAAGTTCCAAATCGATCAATTGTCGTTTATTCGCTTTCAAGTTGAGTCCTTTCATCTGTGAAAGTTTCTCCGTTGCTGGAAAATTTTCTTTTCCTTCTAGGTTTTTTATTTTCTTTTTGAGAATTCTGTCTAGCCGATGGCACCGGAAGTTGCCAGGCAGCAGCAGCATCGCAAACCGGAAAGAAAAGAACTAAAAGAAAATCGAAAGTTTTGATTTATAATCGGACAAGTTTAGAGCTGCGTTCAATTCAGTCCGACTTCTGTTGCATTTCTTGAGTTTCCCCAGCTTCTTGTCTACTGACTTGGAAGGGGATTTTCCTAAAGAATGGAAATGGAAATGGGGGAAAACTTTATTGCCGGGTATTGGTATATTTAATTTATTTACAATATCATCCGCTGGCTTTATTGTGCATTGTCGGGCTCAGGTGTTGAATGCCCAGGCCTTAAGCCCAATAAATTTCAATTAAAATGTCAACAATTTGCAAAGCAGCGACAAGATCTCTTTCTTGTCAGAGAATATTTTCTCAGAAATATACATATTTATGTATGTATATATATTGGGAGGAGAATTTATCGCTGCCATTTGCTTATTGACAGCTGGGAAAGTGAGCGTGACATGATGGAAAGTAATCTAATGGAGAGTATAGCCCAGCTGACTCAGGTAATTCATCATAAATATGCACAGACAATCCCGTGTATATACACCCCTCCTCACACCTGTGGCTGTCGTCACGGGGAAGTCATCAATCTTCTAAAAGGCAAGTCGGCTTTTCCCCCTTTTTTCCTGCTGCCCCCATTTTCTATTAGGGGAGGTGAACATAAAATTTAAATAAATTGTACTACCAGTTGTTGGTTGTTAAATAAAATGCATTCTGGCAAGTTGAAAAATGTTTAAGGAAGCGAATATCGATTTTATTAAAAGACAACTTTATTTTTTATAAGATAATAATGGTATATATTTTAATATTTTCGTGGTAGCATTTTGTTTTGCATTTATAAAACATATTTCTTTGATATTTTATACAATTTTACTGTTATTTTTAGATATATTTTATAGGAAAAGGTTAACTGGTAAATTTACTTTAAAGTCAAATTAAAATCATGCCTCCTTAAAGATGCACTTGCTTCTCTTGTTTTTAAGAAATTCATACAATATACCAACATTGAACTTTCTATTTTCTATGCATACATTTTCTTAACCATAAATTGTTGTATTAAATATTCCATAAATATAAGAAACCTTTAAGTTTTCTTTTATACAAAAAACGCCTTTTAATGCACCTCAAAAAAGAGGTCAAGGCCAAGTCTGCATATATTTTAATAGGAAAATAAAACTGCTGGCAAAGCACAACAGCTTGACCCTTATCAAACT